ACAGAGGGATACAAATGGTCTGACTGCTGAAGACAGTGAACTTAAACTGCGTTTACAAACAATGGAACAACAGGTGCATCTGCAAGATGGTAAGAATCCGAATAATGACTTTTTCAGTAATATTTTGCCCATAACCAGCCTTGTGTTTTCATCTGTCTGAATAAAGTTTGCCATTTCTTCGATGGTATTCTTTAATGTAATTAGTGTTTGAACATTCAAGCTGATCCAAACGGGATTATTTGTCAAATGCAAGATAAGGTCTGGTTGGATTTAGGCTTTGTTGGTCTCTGAAACTTTTTCCGCGATTCCAGAAGAAAGTGAAATCAATTTTGATTTACTGCATCACTTTCACATTGAGTGTAGCATTAACCTTGTGGTAATAAATACTAGTAATTTTGCCATTTTCTTCATCTTGTTGTACAGAAACCAACACAACACATATTACCTTGCAAGGCTAAGCATAGTTTTTGATAGGGCCTGTTTGACTCAGATAAAGGAATATTATATACAAGTCCAATATTCTAAAGTGAATACTTTCTTCGAATGCTAATGGTGTTGTAGTGGAGGTTTGAGTAGTTGCATAATTCAGATGTTAGAACTTCAAAGCTTTGTTCTCAGAACATGATGCTGCTTGAATATGAGAAACTCATGAATTAGTGTCATGATGGGCGCCCATGTATTAGGTACTGTTTTGTTTTGTCCATAAAAAATTGGAAAGTTAAGAGGACACCAATAGGCTACAATTCACCTTGTAAGACCCTTCACACCATAGAAAATTTTCAATAAATCGTTATATCTCAACTGGACCTTATTTCCTTGTTCTCAGTAAAAGTTGTACTAGGCTGATAGAACACTTTCCTAACATAAATTTCCTTCTCTCTCTCTCTCTCTCTCAAATGTTTCCTCTCCATGATCTCTTCAGCTTTTACCAACTTCTTCAGCCAGATTAGTGGTGCAACCCTATGTGGATGATGAACTAGTTTGGGATTGAGACACTTGTTGTTGTATTTTTTCAATTTTGAAAAATGTGGGTGCCATCACTTCCTTTTATATGTTTCAACTTGGTGGTGAAAAGCAGTCCAATACAACAGAATGAATGTATGGATGTAATTAAACTGCAAGTACTTCGTTATGTTTGAAATAGTCCATCGGTTTGTTCAGCTCCTAAATTGGAATAGTTGCAATTCAAAACTAACCTTATCTCATTAGGAAACATAGTGTTATCTTGGCAATTAATTTGCCTATTGGAACTGAATTACTTTCTGCTGGATTTAGCATGTTACTTAGGTTTCAAAAACCATTGGGAAGGCTATGGTATCATATTACCTAAGAAGGGATAGTCAAGGAATAATATGGGAGTTCACATTTAGAATGGCGATACAAAATTGGGAATGGGAGAAAATAGATTAGTTCTCTTATAAACTCTATGCTTGCCTTGAAGGGGATGACGGAGAGCACAGGATGGTGTAGAGGGTGAAAGGGACAAAACAATTTTCATTCAGATCAGTTTAATTGAATGGAGTAGACAGAAGGGAAGGATGGAGGAATGGGGCACCAAGGCGTCAAAGAAGTTTGCATTCTTCATTTGGTGCACTGTGCGAGATGCAATATTGATTGTGGACAACTTAAAGAGGAGGAGAATGGTAATGAGTTGGCGTTGTTTGTGCAAGGAAGCGAAGAAGTCACCAACCAGATTTTGTTACATTGCAAATTCGTTTGACATTGGTGGAATCTTGCATGTTATTGATTAGTATTGCATGGGTTGCACCATTCACAATAGAGGAAACAATTAAGAGTTTGGAGTATGGAGAAATATACCTTCATCACTTCATGTACTTTTTTGGCTTGGATGGACCAAAACGAATAGGAGATTGTTTTACAGTAGTGAAAGGGACATTGTAGCATTATGAAATCTTTCTTGTTTCATGTACATTTTATGGTGTAAAGGGAGGATACAAGTGTGTATAGATGAATGGGTTAGCATGATAGGAACCTGTGGTTGAGCCACTCTTTTATTTGTAAAATATTTTCACCATCTTGTTTCAATAAATGATACTTTTGACTTGTCAAAAAGGATGTATGGGAGGAAAGTGACCCTTCTAGATAAGGTAGAAAGTATATTTTCACGATAGATAAGGCTGCAAGTTTGATGCTGATCTCTGTCAATCCATTTTGTCCATCATTTGGCATGTTTTAACAATGTCACTCATCAGTCAATGAATGGAAAAATTTGCTGCAAATGATGCACCAGACATCAGGTGCCGCCTAAAATGGTGGAAAAGCCAATATGCATCCTCTGCTAGTTTTGCACTCATAAATTGCCACAAGATGTTTGCTAGAATTTTCTGTCTAAATTACTATACGAGCTCTTCATCTTGTTCAATGTGCATTTGTCTTTTGCACACCTGACAATTTACACCTTAACCCTATGTCATAGAGGCGTGCTGGATGTACTACGGACTATTAGTCCAGAAGTGCTTTCATGCAGCGTTTCTATACTTCCAAAATTGTCCTCGCGTATTTATTGATCTTCTTAATGTTTTGTTAGTTTCTTTAATGCATGAAAACATTTTGAGCACAAAATATTTGGGGTTTGTCCAGAGAGTTGCTAATTGATATTTTTGCTCTGTTTTTTTCTGTAATTTCTCCATATGTAGCGTTAAATGATGCTCTAAAGGAGGAGATACAGCATCTGAAAGTGCTAACTGGGCAAGGCATTGCAAATGGCGGACCTATGATGAACTTTCCAGCATCCTTTGGGGGCAATCAGCAATTTTACTCTAACAACCATGCGATGCATACGTTGTTGGCTGCGCAACAGCTTCAGCAGCTCCAGATACATTCTCATAAGCAACAACACCAGTTTCAGCAACATCAGCTCCACCAGTTTCAGCAGCAGCAACAGTTGCAACACCAGCAACAACTGCAAGAACAACTGCACCAAGCAGGAGATATGAATTCGAGAAGTTCACTGTCATCTCCTCAAAATGACAATGGTTCTGATACTAGTGCTATATCAAAGGATTGAAAAACACACAGGCATTGTTGGCCAGAGAGTATAGAGTTGGTCTATTTTTTCAGAATCATCATGTAGCTCAAAGTCTATGTTTCAAAAGCATCATGTGTTTTTCAAGTAGCTCAGCTTATTTACTCTTAATTAGGTTGGTTAGCTTCATCTGCATTTTGGTACTACATTGTAGAATCATTGACTTTTTAGTTGAAAATTGTGCAAGTCCCATTCTATGGCAAGTCATTGTGCTCGACATGATTTTCTTCATATTACCAATATTCTTTGTGGTGGACTTTTTAAAGACATCAAGTAATTTACAGTATTTCTCTTAGTGTCAGTGTTCACATATTACTAATTATATTTGAGACATGTTTACGCTCCCCGCGATCATGGAGGATACCTGTTAGTTTTGTCTTGTAACTGTCTGTTCTGAATCTGTTATCACTTTCAGAAGAATTGCAGGGTGGAACTATTTTCCAACGTTTGCCTGTGAAGTAACCTTTCCAAATTCTGAATTATATTTCATGTTTTGATTCATTTCAAACTGTGCTTCCCTCTTGCATGAATGCAACTTATGACTCCATGTCCTCTCGCCTTCAAGACTATGTTTGGCTAACTCACCAGAGCAAGTGAATGGCGATTTTTATAACTTCTACAACGGGAATAACATTTACATTTTTAAGAGTAAAACAAACCACAAAGGAGTTCTTGCCTAAAAGAAATGGTTTTCGTTTTTTTCCCCCCGGTAAAAACAGGAAATTTTTCATTAATAACTAAGGCGTTACAGGGACATGAGACATCACATTACAACTATTATGAATAGCCAGTACACATGAGTTTCCAAAACTAGCTAACTTATAACACATAGATATAGGAATTGTTCTAGTAGACTACAAGCCTTCTTTGTCGTGTGAGTGGTGGATTTAAGCATTTAGAGCCTGTTTGGCCAAACTTTTAGGAGGCCAAAGTACTTTTTGGTGGTCAAAAAAATATTTTTTGAAAAATTTAAAGTGTTTGACCAAAATAAAAAAGTATTTTTAAGCAACAGCAGAAGCGGTTTCTCTGTTTTCTGGGGAGAATCTATAAATTCTAGCTTCTTCCAAGAAGTAGAAGTTGAAACAAATAANTATATATATATATATATATTGCAAATTATCCCTCATTATTTTAACATTTTTCCTTATCCTTTTCCTTTTTATTTCTGCTATATCTTTCTTCTCTTTTTTATTTTAATCATATTTTTATTTTCTTTCTCCTATTCCTAAGAGTAAATTTTAATTTTATATTGAATAATATATTTTGACATATTTAAATTATCATGCAAACAATAAGTAATATCAAATAGTCAATGTTATTGCTTTGGAATAACTATATTTTATATTGATTGAAATATTTAATTTATATTTTAATTTAGAATTATTTTATAATAAATGTTTAAGTTTTTTTTTAAATAATACTAATTGCAAATTAAATCTTTACTGTCTTTTTTCTTAATTTAATACTTAAAAATACTTTTTGAAAAGATTGGCCAAACATAATGAGATTGGAAAAAGCACTATTAAAACGAATTGGCCAAACATAAACTGTTATTTTACAAAAATACTTTTCCAAAAAGCACTTTTGAACAAAAGCACTTCTCAAAATGAGTAATTTTTTTACTGGGTCAAACAGGCTCTTAATCAAAAGATAAAGTTGGTGCTCCCTCTATTTCAAATCAATTTATGTGAAGGCGTTCAAAGTGCGAATTCGAACATACATTATCAAAATTCTTAAAATATAATTTATATTTAAAATTTTTGTGAAAATTATAAGTGATCATACTTAATAATTTAAAATATTAAAAAAAGAGTCAACAAAAAACTGTATAAATTTCCAAATACCCAAGCTTCGTATTAAGAAAATAATTTTAAATGTCAAATGTCAAAAGACAAAAAAAAGTAAATAAAATAAAAAGGAAAGAGAGCCCTCTACATTTGCCTGTCTTCTCTGTCACTTCTTTCATCTAGAACAGAAGAGTCACTTTTTGTTCTTTTTCCTGAAATTTTCAAAAGACCCCATAACCAAAAAAATTTAATTTCTTCTATATTTTATTTTTGGAGCTTTTCTCCTCCATATTGACAATTCCTTTTGCACGATCACACTTCAAACAGAACACCTGATCAAACTCTCACGGTATGTTATTGTTTTTAATTTTCATTAATCCCCCAATTTTATTCTTAGCTTAACACATTAGTACTTCTTTTAGCTCTGCGTTATTTATATTAATCATTTCTTGGATGTGTTTATTTGTGTATTTTATAAATACAGCTGATAGTTAATATGTATAATGGAAACATAGCAGGAAAAGTGGGATATTATTGGTTATTAGAAAATTTAATCCTAGAATTAGATAAAGTGTGATATATGTAGTGGGTGTTTCTTGGAACATTGAGATAGTTGACACTATTATTTCCTTTATCTAAATAATCTATTTGTGTTTCTGAGATCCAAACTAACTTTTAATGGATAGAGATATGGTCTTGTACATGTTTTTAAGAATATAAGCCCTAGATAATGTAAAGTTAATATTTTTAAGGGGAATTTTCTGCAATATCTTTAAATCTCTGCTCCAACTGCCAGCTCCCTCAGCAGTGGTATTTGCTGAAATATCACTAATTCCATTCTTAGAAAGTATGGTACTGAAAGACGTAAATTGGATACGGAAATCCATCTCTGTTGGATGAAGTTTCAAAATGGGTTCATTTTCTTTCAACGAATAAAAACTTTTGAAAAAGTGAGGGATGTGTCGCGAAGACATTCCAGAAGGTCACCCATCCTAGGAAAACGAATTCGCTTTAGGTTCTTCCTAAATGGTTTAGCTGTGTCGAGTTAAGGTGAGAAATAGTAACTTATATATTGTGATCAAAGAAGAAAATACCATTAGTATTACGATGTTGGAATTTTGATCATGTTATTCCCTTTTTTTGGTGGTAAGCTTATGCATCTTATTATGATGCATTAAGCAAGTTTAGGCTTGTATTGCTGTTGCCTTTGTGCTGTATTTTCTTAATTCTTCATGAAATTCACCTATGTAAAACTTGGTCCCCTTTTCTCCCGTTATTAAGGAATGACTTCTACTTTTGAGCCCACATATCACTTCGGACAGAAGCCATGGCCAGCTGAAAGAAGCCTGAAAAACAGAAGGAAGGGTGGAAAGTAAAGAAGAAAAAAAATGTAGAAATAGAAACTGCTTTTGATGAGCTGGTATCTGGCTAACCTCATTGGGTACATATACAAGTATATTAATTTTAGCTGGGTAGCTTTAAAGAGCACCTTTGTATTGAAATGATTTGAAATGGAAAAAAGCAGCTTGTAACAGACTGCAACTCTCCTAGACTGCAGATAGCATGCAACCCAACAAGCGAATGTCAATAGCAAACTAGTAAAGATGATATTATAACAAATTATAAAGGCACATTGAAGCCTTTTTCTATGAACTTGCATTCCTGTCTCCGGCAGTCAAGGTCAATGTGTGACCGCAGTTTGACAGTGAAACCTCCTAAAACCTTTTCTTATCAAGAATGTGCCAGGTAAGAATGCATTTTTAATGGAAAGACTAATTTACAAAATTTGAATAGAGATAAGGTAGAAGCATGATTATTAGGAAAAAGAATAGGCAGTAGAATACTAGTAAAAACTTGATATAGTTGACCAGATTTAGATCAATGATGATAAAGATGTTAAAGAGAGGACACAACTCAGTGTATAGTTGTTTGGTGCGTGGGGTATAGCAGTGACACTGACCCTTACTCAGATAAATATTGTCATTTAAAGTGTTTCGATGACAAGAAAAATCTGGTCCGAGTTTTGTAACTATTGCTTCCTGATAGGTTGTAAAGTTAACTTACTGTGAAATTGGAAGATGTAAACTCTAGCAGTGATATAGCAAGGTTTATCCTTTTGCAGTTGTTCAAGATACGCAAGTCAGCATATTCAGAATTTTGTTGTGAAAGAAACAGCAATTTCATCAGAAGGATGTCAGTTAATGAAATGTAAAGGGGCTGTAAATACTAGTATTATGTTTGGCAAATAGCCTATAATCACCGGCTGTCTCGTAATTCGAGACTTTAGGGCTAGAAAACAGTAAGATGATGCAGAGGGATATGTCAAATAAGTGCAGGAGTAGAACATGCACATTGATTGTCTATTTCGTCACTGTTTAGACATGGCCTCTCTCTTGTACATCTTATGTTCCTAATGGCACTTATCTGTTAAATTGTTCACTCTTTTTGAATTTGTTATTGAGAACTCTAAGTTTGAGGGAAGCTACTCTCTAGTTTTTTACATTCTAGCAACTTTGAAGTAATATTTTTAGTATATCGATTCTACATCCTGGTAATAAAATCATCTAATCATAAACTAAGGTGGTGTCGTACAAATAGTTTGCATTGCATATGGCCAATCTTGATGGTGATGATGAACCTGAATGGATAAAGAGGGTGAAATCAGAAGGTGCCGTTCCTCTTCTGGACCCACATAACTGCTCAAATGGTTGGGCTTCTCCACCAGGGAATAGTTTCATGGTAAGAGGTCCAGAATACTTTTTAACAAAGGTTAAAGTTCATGGGGGTGAGTTTCTTCTTAAACCTCTTGGTTTTGACTGGATTAAAGGTCCCAAAAAGATTTCTGGTCTCCTAAATAGTCCAACACACCGTATCAGGAGGGCTCTTCAAGAGGAAAATCCAACTGGTCGCAAGCCCTTTGTTTGGGCTTTCAACTTGCAAGTTCCTAGTAAGGAAAATTATAGTGCCATTGCATATTTTGTGGGTCTTCAGCCCGTTCCCGAAGGGTCTTTAATGGAGCAGTTCTTGAAAGGGGATGATGCTATTAGAACTAGAAGGCTTAAATTGATAGCAAATGTTGTTAAAGGACCTTGGATTGTAAGAAAGGCAGTTGGGGAGCAAGCTATATGCGTAATTGGCCGTGCGCTGACATGCAACTACTGTATAGCAGACGACTTCATTGAAGTAGATATTGATATTGGATCTTCTGTGATAGCAAATGCAATTGTTCATCTCGCATTTAATTATCTATCAACTCTTACTGTTGATTTAGCTTTCCTTATTGAGAGTCAAGCTCAATCAGAACTACCAGAACGGATTTTAGGAGCTGTAAGATTTTCGGAGCTGAAAACCACTTCAGCACAGCCAGTTGAAATGCCATCTGATGGGAACATGGGAGAGTTGCCGCCTTCTTTCTCTTCAAGGTTATGGAAATCGTTTGGGCACAGTTTCTCCCACCGTGTTCAGACAGATACTCAAGATGGCAGCTCCAACTCCAGCTCATCACATGTAGAGGGGGCTGTTGATAGTGGGATGTCCAAAGAAGATACAAAAAAATAGTAAGTGATCTTAGACTTTAAGAACGCTTTATCAAATACCTGACATGAAAGAAACTGTAGTTCTCCTTCCTCATGTTAGTTTCCGTTTTAAAATTGACTACATTTCGAGATCCCCCCCCCCCCCCCCC